CTTGAACAACACAACTATGTCGAGGTCAGACCCTGGCATATTAGTATAAAAGTTGTTGGGTACTGTTGACTTGGTTTCAACTCATAGCAACCCTATGTTCAACAGAATGATGTACCGCTCGGTCCTCCTATGCCATCCTCACAGTCATTGCTATGTTAGGCACTTTGTGGTAGCACTTGTGTCAGTACATTTGGTTGAAGGTCTTCTTTTGTCCTGTCAAAATGCTTTATCCCACATGATGTCCTTCTCCAGTGACTGATCCCTCATGAAACAATGTCCAAAGTACATAAGATAACTTCTCCTTTTCTCCCATCAAAGGAGCATTCTGGCCCTCTCCTAACACACATTTGTTCATTCTTCTCGCAGTCCATGGTATATTCAGTATTCTTTGCTAACACTATAATTCAAATGCTTCAGTCTTTCTTGGTGTTCTGAATTCATTGTGTAGCTTTCAGATGCATATGAGGTGGTTGAAAATATTTTATGGCTTGCATCAAGCATACCTTAGTCCTCAAAGTGACATCCTTTCTTTTAAAAATTTTAAAAGTGGTCTTTTGCAGCAGATTTGTCCAGTGCAATATAGCATTTGATTTTCTTAATGTTTGATTGTGAATTGCCTCAAGGTTTACAGAGCAAATCAGTTTTCTGTTCAACAATTCATGCAGGTTTTGTTTCATGTCACTTATTGCATTCCCCACAGTATAAAATAAATTATCTCACTTCCTACTGGCTTTCCATTTCCATTCTCCCTTCCTTCCTGCCTCCCAAACTGTGTCCTTGTGGAAATGCTGCCCTATTGATCTCAGATGGTTTGGCTGAGAATTGAGGTACTGGGGTGAGTTCATTTTCAGCCTGAAGAGTTATAAAGGGCCTTACTATCAGGGGATTTATCAGTCTCTATCAAAGAGCACAGCCTTCGGTATGGATTATATCTCAATGTCAAGAAAACAAAAATCCTCATCAATGGACCAGTTAACAACATTCTTATCAATGGAGAAAAGATTGAAGTTGTCAAGGACTTCATTCTTCTTGGATCAACTATCAACACTCTTGGAAGCAGCAGTCAAGAAATCAAAGGACGTATTGCATTAGGCAAATTTGCTGCACAAGACCTTTTTTAAGTGTTGAAGAGCAAAGATGTCAGCTTGAGGACTAAGGTGTGCCTGACCCAAGCCATGGTGTTTTCAATAACCTCATATGCATGTGAAAACTGGACAGTGAATAAGGAAGACCATAGAAGAATTGATGCTTTTGAGTTATGGTGTTGGAGGAGAATATTTACGATGCCATGGGCTGCCAAAAGAACCAATAGATCGTTCTGGAAGAAGTGCAGCCAGAGTGCTCTTTGGAGGCTAAGATAGGCAAACTTCATCTCTCATACCTCGGACATATTATCAGGAGGTACCGATCACTGGAGAAGGATATCATGCTTGGTAAGGTGCAGGGTCAGAGAAAAAGAGGAAAACTCCCAGCAAGATGGATTGACCAAGTGGCAGCATCAATAGACTCAAGTGTGGCAGCAGTAGTGAGGTTGGCCCAGGATTGGGCAGTGTTTCATTCTGCTGTGCATAAGGTCGCTGTCGACTCCGTGGCACCTAACAACAACAATAACAACAATCTGACCAGTAAGCCTAGTCTTTTTTTTTTTTTTCAAAAAATTTCTAAGATTTGTTCCACATTTTTTTCCTACTCTATCCAGAATCTTCTAATGTGATACATTTCAGAGTAGTCAGTAGGCATAGCCAGACACCATATAGTTAATCTGGTCTCAGGGTCTTTAAGGCTGAGCTTTGTGTGGCCCATTAGTTTAATGGACTAATTATTTCCATATGTTTTAGATTTTCTTTACTCTTCCATGCTCTGCATGGGAGGAGACCAATAATTGTACCTTATATGGTCATTCATAAGCTCTTAAGACTCCAGATAATACTCACCAAAGTAGGATTTAGAACACTGCCTTTCTGGACTATGCTACGCTAATTGATGTTGGTATCTCTGAAGACTATGGCCCTGAGCCATCAGCCACAGTGACTCCATCCTATATGTGTTTGTGGTTACAAATCAGGCTGCGAACCACAAGGTCAACAGTTCGAAACTACCAGCTGTTCTGCGGGAGAAAGATGAGGCTTTCTGCTCCCGTAAAGATTTACAGCCTCGGAAACTCTGTACAGGGTTGTTATGAGTCGGAACCGACTCCACGGCACATAACAACAACAACAACATGGCTAAAATCTGGTACTGTAAGATAAGCACTGGACTGCTAACCAAAAGGTTGGTGGTTTAAACCTATTAGCTACTCTTCGGAAACCTTACACATGGTCTCTATGAGTTGGAATCGACTGGATGGCATTTGGCAACAACAAAATTCTTTCATAACTCTGCACACTGTAACCACACCCACACCACACTCACCCCAAACCCAAACCCAAACCCATTGCCATCAAGTCACTTCAGACTCACAGCAACCCTGTATTGGGCTTCCAAGGCTGTCAATCTTGTGCAAGAAGAAAGCCTTATCTTTCACCCACGGAGTCACTGGTGGGTTTGAACTACAGATCTTGTGGTTAACAGTCCACTGATTATCCTGTTATGTCACCTAGCTCCATCTGCCTCAAGTATGCTCTACTATATGAGGAGGCT